TATGTTATTTGAAATTAGAAGTGTTTAATTGATGTGAACTGTAGAATATTTCGCTATAGCGAGAATGAGGCGGTGAAAATGGAACCTTCTGGAGCCCTCTCGCTGTAGCTAGAATCTCTCGTTGTAACGAGGAGCTCTCGTTGTAGCTAGAATAATAAACAGCAAAGGAAGAAAACTTCTGATTTTTTCGCTGTAGCGAAAAAGTCGCGAGTTTGAGAGATATTTAAAGAACTATTGCCCTAAAAGCTTCATTTTTAACCAAATCACGTATCTCTCTCCATCCTCTTTGTTCTCTCCCTCTCCCTTCTTAGAGAAAACCTCCAATAACTCTAGATCTCCTTCAGATTTGAGCTCAAACATCTGTTCTTCTCGGATCTAAGTAAATTTCTAGAGCTCATCCCTTGGATCTCCTTCCTATTTCTCTTTTCTCTTTTTCATAACAGAAATATACCTTGTGATGTTAAGAATAACTCTAGTCCTTGGGTAGTATTTTAGATTGAGACGTGGAGTTTCTCTATAGAGCACACAAAGAACATAGTTTTTGAGATCCATTCCCAGGTAAGGGGAGTGTTTCCAAGCTATACTTTTATTTTTATATGTAGTGACCCTATGAGAGCTAAAGTAACCTATTTAGTAATAATCTATAAAATTTTTATGAAACTATATAGTAAAAGTGGATTTTTTTAGTATACAGAAATGTTATGAGTTTATTTGAAATTATTGGAATCAAATTCTTAGCAAAAGTCATGGGATAGAACAACACTACAAAATTTTATAATTATGTTACTTGAGATGTATAGGAGTTAAGTAATAAAAGACAAAAAATATTGAACTATTGGTTAGAAGATTCTATTGAGACTGAGAAAATATGACCTCTGGTGAATTATTATGAAATTGCACGAGTTGGACTGAGTCCAAAGGTGTCCAACCTTTGGCATATTGTTTAGTTATATGCTGTGAGATTTGTGATAGACTAATATATTGTATTGATTGTATGGTATGATGTTGAGTGACAATTTTCCATGTTCGACTGGCATGATACAATAAGTATATATATGAATTGATAGCTGGAATGTATTCAGATTAAGTAAGTTCACGTGAATAATTGAAATGTTGATTGATTTTGAAAGTATGTGATGTATGAAAGAGAAGTAATGAGATGCATGATTATGAAGCGTGAGTCAGAATAACTTGAAAGGGTTATTATGATATATATTATAGTACGTTGAAGGTATATTATAAAATATATTGTGATCCACAGATTTATATAAATCGGAACTCATGTATTATAACATGCTAATTGATAAAAGAATATGGAAATGAGAAATCCTGAGAAAGAGAAAGAGAATAAGTATAGATAGTACAGAGATACACTAGGGGTATAGAGTTCGAAAAAGATTTGAAAAATCTTGAGAAAATGAGGATGGTGAATGCTAACGATAAAAGGGTGCACAATAATTTAATGAAAAATAGACATTCATAGGTCACGCCCTCATTTCCTGATGAAACTCCTGACTATACCTTTGCTAAAAGGGGTCGGGGCGGCACACGTGTATCCGTGATGTTATGGCTAACTAGCAACTGTCTATACTAGAAAGTCCTCAAGGGATCTCAGGGGCAATTATTATGAAAAATGTTATAGATATGATATGGTATAGAATATGTATGATTATAATATATGTATCGTAGCAGATCGATTTATGTTGTTATGATATGTGTGTTGTAGTACATCGACGGGTGTGACTGGAACACATGTATTGTGACTTATTAATTGAAATGATATGACATGTGTATAATAACATACAGGTTAATATAGAAATGTATGTATAGTGAGTGAATTGTTGTATATGCTCTGATTGATGGTTGTCTTATTGCATGTCCTTGGATATGATAAGTTTCAATTTAAGTTGTTCACTATTAGTAATGAATTTGAATAGGATATTAGGTAATAACTTTAGTTCTTTAAGATAATTTATAATAAAAGAGACTTAGTGGGGCGAAAAATACTCACCCTTACTGATATTTTCAGGTAATGAAAGAAAGGAGACGGAGATGGTTGATCCATTCTGGAGTCATATTCCTCAAGGATTGTGGGAAAGGAACTGTTTAAATATAATTAAAATTAATAGATGTATAAATATTTTGATGTATTTTATTTCATTGATAGAAAATTTTTGAATTTGATAAATTTGTTAAATTTTATTACTTGGTATTCCCATATTGTACCATTTCTGCAAAATTGTACAAATTATTACTAATTTTCTTAATAATATTTTTAATAATGTAAATTATTTAAAAGAAATTATTTAAAGAAAAGAAGGATGTTGCAAAGACTATGTTTGAGAGTTGTGTTTAAGAGGGGAAGGAGGGGTTAGAAGGGATTAATCATTGTTTAGGAGTTGCTTAATTAGGAGGAAAAGGTTTTATGGGTTTTTCTAAACCCTTATCACCCTTGTTTTTTGAATTTTCCCATTTTAGGAGGTTTTCTCTATCCCACTCTCTAATACTCTTTTATAGGTAGGATTTTAAGGCTATGTTTGGAAGTTGTGTTTAGGAAAGGACGGATTAGAAAGGATTAATAATTGTTTAGGAGTTGCTTAATTAGGAGGGAAATGTTTTGAAAGTTTTTCTAAATCCTCCAAAACCTTGATAACCCTTGTTTTTTTAGTTCCTTCGTTTTGGAAAGTTTTTTCTCCCACTTTCTAGTACTCTTTCATAAATAGGATTCTAAATTTATTTTTTACAAAAAATATTAATTTTTCAAGTGATGATTTTTAAAAACATTTATAAAAAATTAAAATAGTAATTTTTAAATTATTAATTTTTAGAAAAAGAAAATTTTTTATTTTTTTATTTTTTGTAAAAATAAAAATATAAATAAAAGATATAAAATATAATATTATTTATATAATTAAACCCCCTGTCACCCTTTTTTCTCAATATTAAACATCTAAATAAGGAAAGAGTTTAACCTCCTTTCTCCTTCTTTCCCTTCCCCTCTCCTCCTTCCCCTTTAAATTCTTTTCTCCCTTCCCTTCTAAATTCCAAAAGCTTAATTTTTTTGAAAAACAAATGTTAATTTTTTAAGTAATGATTTTTTTAAATTATAAAAAATAAAAATAGTAATTTAAGAATGTTAATTTTAAAATTATTATTTTTAGAGAAAGAATTTTTTTTGTAAAAATAAAAAATATAAATAAAAGATATAAAATATAGTATCATTCCTCTAGATATTAAACAAGAAGTGTTTAATCTTCTTCTCCCTCCTTTTCTTTCCTCCTTCAAACCCCTCTTCTCCCTTCTCTTCCAAACTTTTAAATAAAACCTAAATAACTATTTAGACATGCGTTTTGTTTTATATATATATATATATATATATATATATATATATATAAAATATTAAATAAAAAGTATATATATTTATGATCTTAAAACATAGAATATATTTAATACTTTTTATTTTAATAATTAAAATAATTTATACGAAAGTTTAGAAATATTCTTCCTATAATAAATAAGATACCAAACAAAGTTGACGAAACTTACATCCTTGAAGCACAAACATAATAAAATTTTCATTTGTTTTTTTCTTTTTTCTCATTCCCATATCCTTTTAAGAGAAAAAGCATCTCTTGGAAGTGCTTTTATTTCATTTTATAGTAACTCCAAAGGCAAATTTTGGACACTCGTTTATTTCATTCCCATGTTTTAATCGCTATGTTTGTTTCTTGAACGGGCTTTTGGCTTTTTGACCATACAGTCTATTTTTTAAATTTTATTAAAATTAAATTATATATTTATTCTGTATATTTATAAATTAGTTTATATACTTTAAAAAAATTAGTATCTATTATTTTATTATCATTAATGATAAAAATAATACATTTAATTTATATCATTATAACATCTTTAACATATAAAACTATCATGTTAGTGACAAAAATTAAAATATAATAAAAATCTTTGTATAGAGACTAAAATATAATATTTTAAGTAAAAGAATTAATTTTTAAACTTGCGATAATTAGAAGAATTAAATGTATAATTTAATCTAAAACTAATTATATTTTTTAATTTTTATTAAATAATTAAAATGATATTTTATTTAACGTTAGGACAAGTACATCACAAATATAACATTTTTTAAAATGTATTTAAAATAGGATTATTTATTTAATATGAGATTTAAAAATTATATATACTAAAATATTGTGTTTTTTAAAAAAATAAAAAATTATAAGATTTAAAAATTGTCATTGACAATTTAAAAAATAAAAAAAGTAAAAAATTGCTAGTAATAATTTCTAAAAAATTAATAAAAATGTTTTAAATATAAAAAAAAAAAATACTACTCGCAATTTTTGGTAAAACTGTCACTGGTAATTTTTGGTTTAGAGTATTGCCGGCGGTCATTTTTGAAAAAACTATATATTTTGTAACTTTTTCTCAGAGCACCCTATTTTATTAATTTTGCTTTATTTTTCAAATAAAAAGAAGCCTTCAAAATATATAATAAAAATAAGTTTTTTGGGTAAAAAATTATAATATTTTAAATATCCGTAATTATTAATTCTGGTCCGTTGGAATAATTTGTTATCGTCTTCGATTCTTTATGACTTTTTTGTATTAATTTTATTCTTTTGGATAATACACTAAGTAAAGATAAATAAATAAATTAAATAAAAAGAGAATCAAATAATAAATTCAAGAATTTTAATTAAAGATAATTTTTTAAAATTATTCAAATTGTCGATAAAATTATATTAATTACATTTTTTAATTCTTAAAAAATAATTAAAATGATATTATATTTAACGTTAGAACCAGTACATCACAATTATAACATTTTTTTATAACATATATTAATAATGTATAATAAAAAATGAAAATATCTTTTATTAAAAATTATCATATTTAATATCATTAATATATTAAATTTTAAAATTTCGTCCCACGGCAATGCTTTTAAAAAAAATCAGAATTATAATTATTACTTCTACATCAATCTTATTTGTTTGCAATTTTAATACCCCCTACAATACAAAATCTTGCTCTTTTCAGCTGATTTAACACACTAAATTTTCACCTTCTCTCACACCGATATACACAACTCAATCCTACCAAAACCTCCACAATGGCCGTCTCCGCCTTCTCCAAGTCGGAATAATGCAGCGTCTGCAGCAGCAGCGCCGTTGGCTTCGTCTCGAACCTGGCCTTCTCCATATGCCGCTCCGCCTGCCACCGCGCCGTGTCGTGCGCCACCGGCGATAGCCACTCCATCAGGTCCTCCACCGCCTGCCGCCACCCCTCCGCCAGCGCCTCTCCCTCTTCCTCCCCTCGCCACCGCCCCCTCAACTTCGCCCTCACCTTCCCCCTAAGCCTCGCCGGCAACATCTCATACAAAGCCTCACGCGCGTCCTCCCCTACCGTCGCCGGCGCGTGCAGACAACGCTCCGCAAACAAAATCACTTCTGCATAACGCGCCGCAAGCCCCGCCCCTCCCACCGTCCACGCTGGCGCCAACCTCAAGACCTTATTGTTATTGTTATTCACAATCTTGTTATTATCTATTTCCCCGTTGAAATCAAGCGGCAAGTGATTGTTCAAGAATCGGATCACACCGGTTTTGTTATTGGTTTTCGGAATAGGACCTGATTTTGTGACACGTCTTTGAAGCGATTCCTCGTAAAGGCAGCAGTTTTTTCGGTACAACTCGCGGTGTTCCAAAAGGCAACAACAGTAGTCAAAGCCCAAAAGAACGTTGTTGTTGTCGTCGTCGGAAACGCTGTTATAGCAGTTGCAGTTAGTAATGTAGGCTCCGAAAGCGGAACATATTCTAGCGTAGATAATGCAAACAGCCTTAGCCATGATCCCAATGGTTTTGTCGAATGTTTGGTTCCATAATGAAACTTCCTTGTAATGCTGTACTTGCTTTCTCTTAAAAGCCATCTTCTCGTTGAAGTATTCTAAGTTTGGAGTTGAGTAATTACTACTCTTGGTAGTTACCAATATTTTCGAGTGTTGTCTTTTTTTATTTGAAGCCTCTAATTCCCCCATGGACTCCATGGCGGAACGAAGGCTCTCGGTAGAAGAGACAAGCTTTTCCATTTTGGTAATTATCTTGTCGGAGTTACGAGAGCCGTAACTCAACGTCCCGAGGTCGATGAGGCCGAGCTTGAGGTCTGCATAGACGAGGTCGAAGCGGGCAAGGCCAAAGTCGGAGCATTTCCGGCCGAGTCGCGAGACCGTGTCGGCGGCAGCGTCGACTTCCTCAAGGCGCTCTGCGGCGGCGAGATTGAGGAGGAAGCATTCGTGTTGGGAATTCAAGTATGCCACTCCTTTGGATTTGATCACTTCGTTGCGTAGCTTTGTGAATTCTTGGTCGGAGAGGGATTTGTAGAGTGAAATAAGGCTACACATGGTCTTGCTGGCGTCAAAGGAAAGGATGCCCAAAGTTTCTTCTCTCGGCATGGCCTTGTGACGCCGATACATGGTGGCAACGACCATGAGTATGAGTTCTTTTATGAGTACGTTGGCGTTTACCTCTCTCTCTCTCTCTCTCTCTCTCTCTCACTCGATTTTACTATTTTTAATTGATTATTTTGGGGTGGTGTGTCATGTGTATGACTGTTGACTGATGCGAAATTGGGTACGGACGTCTGAGTTTTGAAGGTTGAGAACTTTGGAAGATAAGGTTTGTGTTGGTTCATTTATAGGGTGGTGGAAGTACGTTGCCAAAGATAGATAGAATGTTTTGAATATTCCATAGGAGGACGCGTTTGGACAGTGAGGATTCATATGGATAATTAATTGTTTTATTATTATTAATTAACAAAGTTAAGAAGATACTGTTGATTGTTTCATCGTGCATACTACCGCCAAATGCGAGGACATTATATTACAGGTGTTACTTGTACCCAAGTTTCCGTCACAGATATTATTCTGCTTGTGTGTTTTTTTCTCTATTTTCTTATTGAATGGGGTAGGGAGGTGGATATTGAAAAACATTATTTTTAAAAATTATTTGTTAGTGTTGTTGAATGATATTATTGTGTGTACACATTACAGATAGTGAAGGGTGTACGCGTCAAATGATTTATGTATATACTAATGTTATAGTCACGTAAGATAAGAGAAAACAAGACGGTCATACATATAATTGAACTGAAAGTTGAATATGGAATTGTTTTTTTCAGGAAAAACAAATTGTAACAAAGAAAAATACATTTTTCAACATTTTTAATGATTGATATTTTTAGAAAAATTAAAATATCTATTTTACAAATTAATCATTTTTAAATATTTTAATTTTTTAGAAAAATCAATCATGTAATAATGGATATGAATGTTTTTAAAATTGTGCGTTGCTTTAATTCTTTTTGAGAGATATTCTAACTTTATCATATTAATTAATTTTTAAATGATATTTTCTCGGCTACCTTTGTAAGTATAAAGGTTTCATTATACTAGAAAGGTAGAAAAGAGATTTAAGAGTGGTTTGGTTTTATTTTGCAAAGCATGAGCTACTATTATGGAAGATACAGTATAGATGCGTTAAATTTTGAATGTTACACGTACCAATTACTCTCAAAAATATATTTTAGAGAGTATAAAGGTTTTATTTTTTAAAGCATACTTGTAAGAGTAATTGTCACACAAATTTTCTTTAATAGAATGGAACATATAACTATTAGAATCAAATTTTCTATTGAGACATGATAATCATTAGACTTTGAACCTTTTAATTTTAGGTCTTTTAATGATACAAGACTTTTTTTTTTTTTTTGAGTACTCATCTTGAACTTTAATTGAATAAAGAGTCTAAAAAAACTTACTTCTCTTTCCTTAAAAAGTGCATGTTGCAAGAGATAAAAATGTGTGTTTTTCATTCTTCATTAGTGTCAAATTAGTTTGTCCTCTCATTTCTATTAAGTTTAGTTTTGCATTGATGTCATTTTTTTTTTCTCATCATGTTCAATAATCTATCAAGTCCACACTCTGGCATGCCATGTCAAATGTTTTGCATTTTCTACATTACACTACAAAACATACGCCTTAATCTCGATATTACTAGAAAAAGTCATACCACCTTGGTTGGTGTAAATTCTTTCTTTTAAGTAGCCTGAGATATTACACTTTGGTTATTCCCTTATTGATATATACTCATATTGAAATAAAATGTAATCGTTAGAACAAACATGTATATTCTCATAGGTCAACCAAATGGAAGAAAATATTTGTTTAATATTATATGTTCTTCTTATAAACACATTATCCTCTAATAGCATGTCATTCAATAAACTAATTAAGTTTGTGAAACTCTTATCACTCCATCCATCATAGGTTTTTAAGTTATAAAGTTTTAACATTGCATTCAATCATGCAAACTGTGTGCATCTAATATACAATGGTTCTTTCATATTAATTTTTAACCTCTAGTTAAAACATCTTTGAATAATTTCTAAGATCTTCTTCAACAACATTTAGAACATCTTCAATATGATTGGTCTTATATATAGTTAATGTGTCTGAGTATCTAAAACTACACTCAAAATTATCAAATATATGTTGACTACCTTGTATCTCACCATGCTTTGGCCAACAAGTATACCTTTGATCAATCTGATACATATTAGATGTTCTTCCAATTCTTTTAGAATCACTTGCATCATATTTAGACATTACTAACAAAGGCATGGAATAAGATTTGTATCGTTACCATGCTCATCTATAAACCTAATAAAATCTTTCCCTCCATCTTTATTTGGTCAAATGATTAACAAACATCCAACTATAATCCATATTTATTCAAACTACTCAAACAATAATTACATTATATGATATAATCAATGTCTTGTTTTGTCTTACATGGTAGGATCATATCCATTTAAGAAGAAAGTTTTCATGCATTAATTAACATTTGCTACTTAAACTTAATATTTTTTACTTGGTAAAATTTTTACAGTATTTCGCATTAGTCTCTTAAGTACACAACTTGAATGTGAAAACATTTACCACAATCAAACATGCACATAAACATAATGAAAAATGTACTAAACTAAAATTTTATCAAGTATAGCTTACAAGATTTCAAGAAGTATTTGCTAAGCAACCAATGAAAAATTGTCTCACTTAGACAATTTAAGATTCAACACAATGACTTTTTCAATCATTGTTTTGAATTTCATGAGAAACTAAGATTTTACTCAAATTTTGAATTCAAATCATAAATTGAAACTTAAATTAGAGAATAATTTACATGCATTCACAACATTTCATAAAGCATATGTATTTGTATTCATAATTTACACCAAACAACAACATAAAGCAAACTTAGGAAACATATAGCCATTTGCCTAAGAAATACCATGCTAAGGATACTATCATAAGTGTTTAATTAATAATGTTCATGCAATTTTATTAACAAGGGGTAGTCTTAAACTAAACACAAATCACTTAAACAACGAGCACTCCTAAGCAAAAGGTAGTCATACTTATTTTTATTATTGTACATATTGATTTAATTACTTGATTCTTTCAAGATTGATTGTTAACTACTCAAGTTCCTAAATATATATTTAACACATTTAAGCATTTTAAGTTTAGGTACATTTAAGCATTTTAAGTTTAGGTTTCTATTCTCTTAATCAAACTATATGTTTGGCTAAATAGAGAAAAATTGGAACCTTTGTTTCTAAATACTTAACAAAATGAAGTAAATATATTTAGGGTTCAAAACTTATTGTGAAATCACTGTATTAGTTACTATTGAAATCATTTAGTTTTTAAGGCAAATGTTAATACAAACCTTAGTATACAATGGGAGATATAATTTATTCTAATATTAGATTTTATTCTAATCTTATATTCATTAAATAAATTATGCAAAGGATATATAAATAAATCAAAGTTCAAAACTGCTAACATTATGTCTACATTGCTAAGTCCACTGAATCAAAGTTGAAAATTGCTAATACTATGGTCTTTAGTATGGACAAACTTTTCATAAATACTTATAAGAGTAAAAAATTAAGTACAAATCAAACTCATATGTTAAAATCAACTTATATTTCTCTCTTTTTAAGTTATTCTCATTTAATTTCTCTAAAACTTAAAAAGATAAGTTATTCTTAATTTATGAAAGAATTTTTATTTATTTTTAGTTTATTTTTCTTTTCTTATAATAAATTTTCTACAAGCTCACTCAAATTGGACCTATATCTATATAGCTAAGTCATGGTAAGTGCTTAGGTAATTTATATGACTCATTGCTTTGTGACATTATGATAAATTCAAAGTATGAAACCTGAATCAATAGGGGATGGTTTTATTTATTTTAGTATAACATATTCAACTTAATAATTGAAGTATAAAGCCTAAAAATCCCATCATAACTCTATTTCTATTAGACACTGCTCTATAAGTTATGCTTTTAATATCAATGTATAAGTTACATGGTTTGTGTCATATAATTGCTAATTGTCTATGTTAATGCTAAGTCAATTGACCTAAAGTTTGAAATTTGACAAAATAGCCAAAACCCATGTGTATAACTATCACAAAAACAATGCAAAAAATAATGTCATTAACCTGAATCAATGTTCATGTCAATGGCAAGGATAACAATGCTTAAGACAGATGAACGAGAAAGATAAAGTATTCCTAGACAGTGTAAACAATTGCGACAATGATGATGCATACAGAGAAAAATGAGGGTGTAACACCCTCATTTTGTAATTTATTATTATTGCAATTAATGTTAGTTGTTTGTACATGTTATTTGAAATTAGAAGTGTTTAATTGATGTGAACTGTAAGATATCTCACTGCAACGAGACAAATCTCGCTGTAGCGAGAATAAAGTGATGAAAATGGAACCTTCTGGAACCCTATAGCTAGAATTTCTCGCTATAGCGAGGAGCTCTCGCTATTGCTAGAATGACAGATAGCAAAGGAAGAAAACTTCTGATTTTTTCGCTGTAACGAGAAAATTGCAAGTTTGAGAGATATTTAAAAAACCCTCGCCCTAAAATCTTCATTTTTAACCAAATCACATATCTCTCTCCATCCTCTTCATTCTCTCCCTGTCCCTTCTCAGAGAAAACCTCTAATAACTCTGGATCTCCTTCAGATTTGAGCTAAAATATTCGTTCTTCTCGGATCTAAGTAAGTTTCTAGTGCTCATCCCTTGAATCTTGATCCTATTTCTCTTTTTCATAATAGAAATATACCTTGTGATGTTAGGGATAACTCTAGTCCTTAGGTAGTGTTTTAGATCGAGACATGAAGTTTCTCTTTAGAGCACACGAAGAACATAGTTTTTTGATATCCATTTCCAGGTAAGGGGAGTATTTCTGAGCACATGTTTAATATTTAGTAATTAATTATCAATATAAAAACTTCAGCTTTCCTGTAATTGTAAGTTGATAATCTCGAAATTATATTCCTAATTCTATTATGAACGAGATTTATATGTATGAAGTTTTAAAATTTTTGTCATTTTCAGTAAATTAGATTTTTACACATGAAAATCCTTTCTATTTATTTATCTTTTACTTATTTTAATCACATCATATTGATACTTCTATTTTTGTTTAGAGGAAAATTATAAAAATAAATAAGGGATGTTATAGAGGGTGTGCATAGGGGAGGGTGAATGCAAGGACAAGGATGAAAATGTTTTATTAAGCTTCACTTTAAAAAGAGATTAGTCAAAAATTACTTTCTAAAATTTAACTTAGAGAGCAATTACACATGAAATCACTCTCTAAAGCATTTTTTAATTTTAAGGAGCAGTCATATATATTAACCACTCTCTTGAAACCGCT